ACCCAATCCAAGGAATTTCAAAGCCCTTTTCTGTAGTTTTGTTTAGTGAGTGCACTTAAAAACCCTAAAGCTGAGAGATCTGTCAGTGAGCAGAGCTCCAGGGGAGAATTACAGCCTGCTCTGCATTTACCAGATAAGTGCATGTGGGACAGCCCCTCTTCCTCAGACTTTTTCAATCAAAAACCTTTTTGTGGAGCAGCTTTCCTGACCAGCAATTTTTTATGGAAAAGAAGGAAGAAAAGAAAAAAAAAAAAAAAAGCAGCCTCCAGGATGGTTTCTGTAGTTCTGTCTCAGCCTGTTCTTAAAACCAACAGAGCCCAAACCGAGTTTAATTCTCGTTCTCTTCCTCCTGGCTGTGGCTCTGCCTTGTGCTGTCGGGATTATTGCTGGCTAGAAATGCAAATTTCATATGGTTTTCTTTTTAGGGTGTTTTTTGTGCATCACCCCCCTGAATTCCTGCTTTCTCCAGGAGCGTTCTGGGCAGTTGTGGGCAGTTCCAGGCTGTGTTTGGTGGTTGGGTCGGGGGAGATGATCCTGGGGGTGCAGGGCAGGGCGATCCCAGAGATCTGGGGCAGGAAGAGGGAAGATCCCAGGATGGGAAATCCGTGAGGAACGTTGGGCAGAGGTGCCCAGGAGCGGATCTGGAGAGGCCTGGCAGCTCCAGGGGGGTGACACCGCTCCCGTGTGCAGGATTTGGGATCTCCAGGAGGATTTCCCAACCCTGGTGGCAGCTGAGGAAGTTGGGTCTGTACCAGAAGCGGGGTGGGAAGGTGGTGACGGTGGAATTTGGGGTTTTGGGGTGTTTTGGGGTGTTGAAGGGCAGAGGTTTGTTCTTTCATCAAGCTGAGGTGTGATGTGGAGTGTTTGGAGCTGAGAGTCACCATGGGGTCGCTGGGTTCTCCTGGGGGAGGATGAAGCATCCCAAAGTGCTGGAATGTCCATCCATGGGGGCTGGCCTGGCTGCTCCCCTTCCCTCTTTTGGAGGGAGATGGAAAAGGGACCCTGGAGGATTGGGAGAGCTCAGAAGGAAAAGTCCAGGGCTGGAATTTCCTGGAAAAGGGACCCTGGAAGAGCAGAAAGCTCAGAAGAAAGGTCCAGGTGTGGATTTCCCTGGAAAAGGGATCCCAGAGGAGCAAGGGAGCTGAGATGGGAAGAGCTTCCCGTTGTATCCTGGTATTTCCTTCCTGTCTGACACCAAACTTTTATTTTTTCCGAACTGAAGTTTGCCTAAAAAGCAATAAAGTAATTTAATTTCTAATAACCAAAGGGTTTTCATCACCAGACATTTATTCCTCAGCTTTTCCACCTCCCAAGGGAATTTTCCCTGGACATTTGAAATAATTCTGGGATGGTTTTTTTTTCCCCCCATTGTCAGATGTAAATCCCAATTTTGCCTTTGAACACGTCGTTGCTGCTGTGGACTTTTTGTTATTTCAATTTATCCCTGAATGGAAGCACAACTTATCCATCTTTATTTTTTTTCTTGGAATTCTCATCTTTGAACTGAGAATCCTTAGGAGTCACTGATGTGACCCTGCTAAGAGACCCTGCAGCACTAGGTGGCACTCGGGCTCCAAATTTCAGATTTCAGCAGCCAAAACTCCACGAAACTTTAAGGAAAATCCTCCAGCATCGCTCCAGTGGTGCCTCTCCTGGAATCTGAGGAGGTTTTATCCCTTTAGATCAAGCAGGAGAAGGAAATATCTTCCCCCTCACCTGCTCTGGGCTCTTTTACACTGAATTTAAAGAAGTTTGAAAGTTCTGGCGTTTTTGTTTTGCCACTGAGAATCTTTTACTGAACCTGCAGAATTGAAATGGCCTGAAAGACTAAGAATTCAATCGATTTTCTCCAGACTTCAGCTCTGTTTTGGTATTTTTCCCTGTTTCTTGGAGGTCTTGCAGGGATGGGATTCTCCAAAGGGAGTGCAGATCCCACTGCAGGAAAAGGATTTCCTGTGTCCTCCTGGATTCCTGGAGCTGTGGTTCTTCCTGGGGCGTTGCTCCTCGCTGCTGTGATTAATGATTTTTAATTATTTTATTCTTACAGCTTGGTCAGATCTGTCATTCCCATCTTTTCTCTCTGATCATTCCCATTTTTCCTCTCTGGTCATTCCTATTTTTCCTCTCTGATCATTCCCATCTTTTCTGGTCATTCCCATCTTTTCTCTCTGATCATTCCCATTTTTCCTCTCTGGTCATTCCCATCTTTCCTCTCTGGTCATTCCCATTTTTCCTCTCTGGTCATTCCCATCTTTTCTGGTCATTCCCATCTTTTCTCTCTGATCATTCCCATTTTTCCTCTCTGGTCATTCCCATTTTTCCTCTCTGATCATTCCCATCTTTTCTGGTCATTCCCATCTTTCCTCTCTGGTCATTCCCATCTTTCCTCTCTGATCATTCCCATCTTTCCTCTCTGGTCATTCCCATCTTTCCTCTCTGGTCATTCCCATCTTTTCTGGTCATTCCCATTTTTCCTCTCTGGTCATTCCCATCTTTTCTCTCTGATCATTCCCATCTTTCCTGTCTGGCCATTCCCATCTTTTCTCTCCAAAGGCTGCCTGGAATCCTCTCTGTCCCAAATTTGTCCCCAATACCCGACACAAGCTCAGATCCATAAACCTCACTCCAAGGGAGGGAATTCAGGTTCAGGAGCCAGAACTTCCCAAAGGCAGGGCCAAGGGTGGGATTGCCACAATCCATTAAAAATATCTGTATTTGCTGTAAAAAAAACCCAGGAAAACAACCCTGGAATTCCTGGAGTGTGACTTGGTCCCTCTGCTTTTTAGGGAAGCATTTGAAGGACAGAAATTCGGTTTTAACTTCCATCCTCTGGATTTGGTTTTAAGCTGAAGGAGGGCAGGGAGAGATGGGATCTTGGGAAGGAATTCCTGTCTGGAATTCCCAGATTTGCTGTGGCTGCCCCTGGATCCCTGGCAGTCCCAGGCTGGACATTGGGGCTTGGATCCATCTGGGATCCACCAGCCCATGGATGGGGTGGGATTTAAGATCCTTTCAATCCAAGCAATCCTGGAATCCCAAGGTGGAATTCCAAGTTATTGGGTGTGGAGATCTTGGGCTGAGGTGGCCCCACCAGCTCTGTTGTCTTTTATCAACAGGGTTAAAACTGCTGGCAAAATTTGGGATGGGAAGGGAAAATTTGGGATGGGATTTTGGCAGCTGTGGAGATCCTGGTTTCCATTGTCCCTTTTACCCTTGGAGCCCAAAGAACATCCAGGGGATTTTCCAGGAGGGATTTCTGGACAAGGGGATCAGAGATGGCTCCAAGATAAAATCTTTGTTTGAGGTGCTCCTGGCCTGGTCTGGTCTTTCATGGAACACCGAGAGGTGGAAAAAGGAAAAAAAAGGTTGGAATAGAAACATTTTGGGCTTGGTTTGTCTCTCAGGGATCACCAAAATGGTGGGGAAAGGAAAAAAAGTTGGAATAGAAACATTTTGGGCTTGGTTTGGGCTGTTCTGGTTTCTCAGGGAACGCCAAAATGGTGGAAAAGAAATGTTTGGAATAGAAACATTTCAGATCTTCCTGGATTGTTCTGGTCAAGGACAGGGACCTTGAAATGGGTGGAGAAAGGAAAGGAAGACTTGGAATAGAAACATTTTGGGCTTGGTTTGTCTCTGGGGAACACCAAAATTGGTGGAAAAAAAAGAAAGTTTGGAATAGAAACATTTCAGGTCCTCCTGGCCTGGTCTGGTTTCTCAGGGAACACCAAGTGATGGAAAAAAGGAAAAAAAGTTGGAATAGAAACATTTTGGGCTTGGTTTGTCTCTCAGGGATCACCAAAATAGTGGGAAAAGGAAAAAAAGTTGGAATAGAAACATTTTGGGCTTGGTTTGGGCTGTTCTGGTTTCTCGGGGAACACCAAATGGTGGAAAAAAGAAGAAATGTTTGGAATAGAAATATTTTAAGTATTCTTGAGTTCTGGTCAAGGACAAGAAACAATTTCATGTTTCTCTCAGGGACCGTGAAATGGGTGGAAAAAGGAAAGGGAGACTTGGAATAGAAACATTTTGGGCTTGGTTTGTCTCTGGGGAACACCAAAATTGGTGGGAAAAAAAGAAAGGTTGGAATAGAAACATTTTGGGCTCAGTTTGGGCTGTTCTGGTTTCTCAGGGAACACCAAAGAGTGGGAAAAGGAAAAAAAGGTTGTAATAGAAATGTTCTGGGCTTGGTTTGTCTCTCAGGAAACACCAAAATGGTGGAAAAAGAAAGAAATGTTTGGAATAGAAACATTTCAAGTCCTCTTGGGTTGTTCTGGTCAAGGACAAGAAACAATTTCATGTTTCTCTCAGGGAACATGAAATGGGTGGAGAAAGGAAAGGAAGACTTGGAATAGAAACATTTTGGGCTTGGTTTGTCTAGCAAGGAACACCAAAATGGTGGAAAAAGAAAGAAATATTTGGAATAGAAACATTTCAAGTCTTCTTGAGTTGTTCTGGTTTCTCAGGGAACATGAAATGGTGACAAAAGGAAAAAAGTTTGGAATAGAAACATTTCAGGTCCTCCTGGCCTGTTCTGGTCAAGGACAAGAAACAATTTCATGTTTCTATCAGGGAACATGAAATGGTGGGAAAAGGAAAAAAAGGTTGGGATAGAAACATTTTGGGCTTGGTTTGAGCTGTTCTGGTTTCTTAGGGAACACAAAATGGTGGAAAAGGAAAAAAAATGTCTGGAATAGGAATATTTCTGGTCCTCCTGGACTCTTCTGGTTTTTCAGGGAACACAAAATGGTGGAAAAAGGAAAAAAAGGTTGGGATAGAAATATTTTGAGCTTGGTTTGGGCTGTTCTGGTTTCCAGGGAACACAAAATGATGGAAAAAGGAGAAACCTTGGAATAGAAACATTTTTAATCCCCATTTGGTGCCTGGTTTACGACCTGTCCCTCCATCCCAGGAGGGCGATTTTGGGCTCAGATTTGGGCTGTTCCCGCTGTTTTTCCTGGAGGAGGAGCTGGCAGTGCTGAGCTGGCGTGTCCCTGCAGGTCCGTGTACGATGGCGAGGAGCACGGGCGCTTCATGGAGAAGCTGGAGGCGCGGATCCGCAACCACGACCGCGAGATCGAGAAGATGTGCAACTTCCACTACCAGGGCTTCGTGGATTCCATCACCGAGCTCCTCAAGGTCCGGGGAGAAGCCCAGAAACTCAAGGTGAGAGAAAATCCTGCCCTGACAGCTCTTTTCAGGTGGCTCCATCTCTGGGATTTTCTGGAATCACATCAATCTTCTTTTATCTGGAATTTTTCTACTTAAAAAAAAAATTAAAAATTAGAATATTTATAATATATTAGAAATATTTATTTTAAATTCTTCCTGGAGAAATGGGTTGGTCGTTGAAAATTTGATAATTATTTAGCCAAACTGGGCCAGTGTGGTGCATTAAAAGCACCGAGAAACTTAAAGCTTGTTTTCATTAGGAAAAGTGCTTTTCCTCATGGATCTCGTCCCAGTTTCTTGGGCTAAAATAAGTCTTGTGGCCTTTAAAACTGTGCAGAAAGATGAGGGAAAGGGGGGATTTACCCAGCTCTTGGAAAAGTGTTCAGTAATGGGTGGAAAAAGCCATTTGTAGGATGAGAATGTGGAAAAGGGACTGGAAGGAAACTGGAGAGGCTTTGGGAAAAGGGAGCAGGAGGTTGGAGGTGTTTGGGGTCAGGTGGGATTGGGGTTCAAGCTTCCATAAAATACAAATATTCCAGATTTGGGGAGCACACGAGCATCAAAACCTTCCTGGTTTTTCTCCCTAAATCCAACCGTGGTGGGGGAGAGGCGGCTGGGCCGTTCCTTCCTGCCGGAACAAGGCGGGACCGGGGTTGGAAATCCCAAAAAACCTCCCAGAGGAGTCGCTCGGAGAGTGGGGCTGAGTCGTGCGGCTCCCAAAACGTCGTGGGATGTCCCCAGGGAGCAGCACAGGGAGATTTTCCAGCTGAGAGGAGCCTGTCCTGTTGGGAAGGACCTTCCTGGGAATCGGGAAGGACCTTCTTGGTGTTCAGGAGTGTGGGAGACGGTTCCGTGTGCACTGGAAGAGCCAAAGTTCTAAATCATGAAATGTGTCAGAAAAAGCAAATTTTCTGGAAAAAAGGGAAGAATTGGAAGTCAAGATGCTGACTGCTGCTTTTAACACCTTTGTTCACTGATTTAAATCTACCTGGGGCATTTCCAGCAGGATTCCTGCTTTCTCCACCCCAAAAAGTCCTCTCAGGAGCACCTTCCTGAGGAGAATCCATCCAGCAATTCGTGGCAGGATGAATCCATTGGAGTTACCATGAAATAAGTCTTTTTTTTCCCTTCTTTTTTTTTTTTTTTCCCCTTTTCCCAATTTTTCCAAGTCCATTGTTTCCAGCCAAGAATTGCACATTGTTTGTTTGCTCGGAGCTGGTTCCCATTCTGCCCCAACCCCTTTGTTGGTGGCTCACTGTGAAGTCCATCCCTGTCCCCTCAGGATCTCCCTTGATTTCCGTGCCGACGCGATCCATAAAACAGCACATGGCGAAAACGTCCCCGGCGAGTCCTTTCTGGAAGCTCTTTGTGAGGCTTTCCCCGGGGAATCGGCCGTGGATCGAGCGCTGAGCGTGGCTTTGCTCCCAGCCCTTCTTCCTCCATTTGATCTCGGGCTCTTCTCCCCGGGGCTGAGCTTTGAAGCGGCGCTGGCAGCGGGGCCCTCCCTGTTCCTCCCGCTCCGCTCGCGTGCTCCTGGCGCTGCTCCGCGGGCTGCAGAGGGAATATGGGATGTGGGGATGGGATATGGGATATAGTCTGTGACATATGGGATATGGAGATGGGATATAGTCTGTAATGTATGGGATATGGAGATGGGATATAGTCTGTGACATATGGGATATGGAGATATGTCTGTAATGTATGGGATATGGAGATATGGAATATAGTCTGTAATGTATGGGGTGTGGGGATGGGATATAGAATATAGTCTGTGATATATGGGATGTGAAGATGGGATATAGAATATAGTCTGTAATGTATGGGATATAGAGATATGGAATATAGTCTGTAATGTAGGGGATATGGAGATGTGATATAGTCTGTAACATATGGGATATAGTGAAGAGATATAGAATATAGTCTGTGACATATGGGATATGGAGATGTGATATAGAATGTAGTCTGTAATATATGGGACATGGAGATGGGATATAGAATATAGCCTGTAATATATGGGATATGGAGATATGGGATATAGTCTGTAATGTATGGGATATGGGGATATGGGATATAGTCTGTGACATATGGGATATGGAGATGGGATACAGTCTGTAATGTATGGGATATGGAGATATGGAATATAGTCTGTAATGTATGGGATATGGGGATGGGATATAGTCTGTAATGTATGGGATATGGAGATATAGAATATAGTCTGTAATGTATGGGATGTGGGGATGGGATATAGAATAAGTCTGTGACATGGGATATAGAGATATGGAATATAGTCTATAACATATGGGATATAGAGATGTGGTATAGAACATAGTCTGTAACCTATGGGATATGGAGATGGGTTATAGAATATAGTCTGTAATGTATGGGATATAGAGATGAGATATAGAATATGTTATGTAATGTATGGGATATAGAGATATAGAATATAGTCTGTAACATATTGGATATGGAGATGGGATATAGAATATAGTCTGTGACATGGGATATAAAGATGGGATATAGTTTGTAATGTATAGGATATAGAGATGGCTTATAGAATATAGTCTGTAATGTATGGGATGTAGAGATGATATATAGAATATATTATGTAATGTATGGGATATAGAGATATAGAATATAGTGTGTGACATGGGATATGGAGATGGGATATAGAATATAGTCTGTAATGTATGGGATATGGGGATGGGATATAGTCTGTAATGTATGGGATGTAGAGATGAGATATAGAATATAGTCTGTAATGTATGGGATATGGAGATATGGAATATAGTCTGTAATATATGGGATATGGGGATGGGTTATAGAATATAGTCTGTAATGTATGGGATGTAGAGATGAGATATAGAATATATTATGTAATGTATGGGATATAGAGATATAGAATATAGTCTGTAACATATGGGATATGGAGATGGGATATAGTATATAGTCTGTAACATATGGGATATAAAGATATAGAATATAGTCTGTAATGTATGGGATATAGAGATATGGAATATCGTCTGTAATGTGTAGGGTATAGAGATGGGATATAGAATATAATCTAATGTATGGGATATAGAGATATGGAATATAGTCTGTAATGTATGGGATATGGAGATGGGATATAGGATATATTCTGTGACATATGGGATATAGAGATGTAGTATAGAATATAGTCTGTAACATGGGATATGGAGATGGGATATGGAATATAGTCTGTAATGTATGGGATATAGTGATGTGATATATAATATAGTCTGTAATATATAGGGTATAGAGATGGGATATAGAATATAGTCTGTAATGTATGGGATATAGAGATGGGATATAGAATATAGTCTGTGACATATGGGACATGGAGATGGGATATAGAATATAGCCTGTAATATATGGGATATGGAGATATGGGATATAGTCTGTAATGTATGGGATATAGAGATGGGATATAGAATATAGTCTGTAATGTATGGGATATGGAGATGGGATATAGGATATATTCTGTGACATATGGGATATAGAGATATGGAATATATTCTGTAACATATGGGATATAGAGATGGGATATAGAATATAGTCTAATGTATGGGATATAGAGATATGGAATATAGTCTGTAATGTATGGGATATGGAGATGGGATATAGAATATAGTCTGTAATGTGTGGGATATAGAGATGGACTATAGAATATAGTCTGTGACATATGGGACATGGAGATGGGATATAGTCTAACATATGGGATATAGTGATGTGATATATAACATAGTTTGTAATATATAGGGTATAGAGATGGGATATAGAATATAGTCTGTAATGTATGGGATATAGAGATAGGATGTAGTCTGTAACATATGGGATATTGAGATACAGAACAGTATAGATTCTGTAACATGGGATATAGAGATGTGATATAGAATACAGTCTGCAACATACAGCATATAGAGATATCTCATCTCTACATCCCATACATTACA